GGCGGGTCGGCGCCGCGAAGCCTGGGGACCGTGGGGCGCTGGGGAGGCGGGCCGGGCCAGCGCCGAAGGAGACAACAACGAAATGGACCGATGGCATGAGTCTGGCAACCCCGGGCTGACAGCCAGCCCAGGTCTGTCCTACCTCTTCAATCGCAGGCCGCCGCCGGCGCTGCTGCGGTCTCTGGGACTCACGAGGCGGGTGGTCTCCGAGCCTCCGGTGGCGGGAGAAGGCTCCATGTCCCCACTGCCGCGACCGTCTAGGCCGCACGAAGCGGGAGAGGCGGGGCTGGCCTTGCGCCAAATCCGAGCGGCCCGAGGACCACCCGGACTCCCCGCAGGACCGTGGGGCCACCAGAGTGGAGGGAACTGCGGCGACTGTGGCGCTCTGAGTCCGAACTGCAGAGCCCGCGGCAGCGAGAGCCCCGCCCCACGTGGAGCGAACTCCCCCCCCAAACCCCGCCTCCAGGCTCCGGAGTCTCTCTTTCTCTCTCTCCCACACTTAAGGCCCGCCTCCCGGACCCGCCCCTAAATCCAAAGCCCCATTCCCCCCCCCCCCCCCCCCCTTTGGGGCCCCAACCCCGGGGGGGGGGGGGGGGGCCACCCCGGTACCCTGGCACTGGGGTTCTAGCAAGCGCTCCATCTGCACAGTCCTGCTCTCGCCCCAAGTCCCGCCCACCAGTTCCTAGTCCGGCTCTTCTCACCTAGGGACCCCTCTGGCACCAAACTTTGGGAAGAGACACTGCCCTATGCATGAGGGTTTAGGGGCGTCGTCCCACCACCCAATCACTTTGTGGCTCTGGCCCCCACGCGGAGGCAGAAACAGGTGCCAAATTGATCTGGAGAGAAACAGAGAGAATCTGGGGTGAGCAGTGACACATTCCCAAACAACTCTAAGGACTCCAGCCAGAAATCCCACTGTGGAGGCTCTGGAATAGGAATTCATGAGCAAAATCTGCTGCCAAGCACGGTACCGCTAATTACCATTTATTTTTATACAGAGATCTTGGGTAACAAAACCCTTTCTGCTGTCCTTCAATCCACACATGATCCCCACTTTCCAGATAAGTAAACTAAGTTCTAGAAGCGTCATGTGACCTGAAACAAATGCCTCATCCTTCTCCCCACCTGGATCAGGGCTAGAAATTGAATTCCTCTCACAGAGAGGTTGGGGCGGCAGGAGGTGCACTGTCACCTCTCCAGGGTCACCAGTCACTGTTTATAGAGGGAGGCTGCTTGTTCAGCCTGTCAGCACGTGACTCCTTCCTTGCCTACTTACTGTAACACAGTCTGGTGTGCTCATCTGGGGGAAGATGAAAGCCCAGAGAAAGGAGTGACTTACATCCCTCGGCGGCCAAGGCTGGAGTCGAAACTTCAAATGTTCAGTGCTCCATACTCCTTGCACCTGCCGCCACTGTGGAATGAAAAGGGGAGGGGAACTGGGTTGTACATTCTCAGCTGTGAGTCTGTGAAGACGAGGGTCCGTAGGAGGAGGAGAGAGCAGCCGTGGAAAGAGCGCTGGAGGTGGCGGGTAGTGAGCCCAGGCAATAAACCCACCAAGGGCATCTTTTGGAACTCACCGATCCTTCTGAACTCAAGGTCCTGGGAATTGACACCTGCCCTCAACATGGTTCTCACAAACAATGAGATCGTGTGTGCATTTCCAAAAGGCAAACCAAAGCAAACAAAAATGAAAAAGTGAAAGAAACGGTGAGCTCGCCAGTGTTTGGAAGTGATGGGGTTAAGCCGGGAGAGCTTCGCGGAGGAGGTGAGGCTTAAAACGGATTAGGCAAACCGGGCAGCGGGCTGGCTGTTCCGGCGGGGGAAGAGTGTGGCTACGCCAGGTTTGCCGGGCGGCTTGTGCAAACGGATGGCAGTGAGCAGAGAAGTGGAGTAGAAAACTCGGGTCTGCAGGCCATCGGCGCGGGCCTCTGCCCACGCGCGCCTAAGGCCACTGTGGCTTTCCCTCTGCACCCGCGCCTGGACCAAAGAGGGCTCTTTCCTCCCGCTCTCCCCTACTGTCTTGGGGGCCTCAGCTCTTGGGCTGAGTCTCAGGACAAACAGAGGGGAAGTCAAGGGAGGTCACCTTGCTAGCCTACGTCAGAGCCAAGGTGGAAATCACGGCCCTGCTCAGCTAAGCCAGCGCCTCGGGCTCGTCTTGCCCAGTGCCGTCGGTTTTCTAAACTCGCTGCTTGCCCTGGGGTTCCCGATTCCAATTGCGCTCGTGCTGGGGGTGCTGGAGAGTCATACTGCATTCCAGAGACCGTGTGTTAGCCTCGCCCCCAGTGGTCAGGGTGAGCTCCAGAATGGGGAACCGGCTCGTAGGCACGCCTCGGCCGATGACGACAGCAGGGAACATGACAACAATGACTTCCTCTGGGATTTCCCTTCCTGGGCAGCCCGCAGCGCGCAGAGCATCCCCGACTGCCCAGGAGGGGGCGCGGGTTTTGGCACGTGCCCGACCCGCCACCGGGTGGGAAGCCGGCAGGCCTGGAAGTGAAAGGAACGTCGAAGAGGATGGATGACAGCCTCACTGTGTGTCTGGCTGCCGAATGCGCCGCCTCCAGAAGCCCAGAGCGCCGGCAGTGGGAAGACCAACAGTTGCCTTCGCTTGGGAATCTATGTTAGGAAAGCTTGGCAGTAAAACCGGTGTTTGTGCCCGCTTCTCCGGGAGCCGCCAAGAGGCCCTACCAGGATTTCATAAAGGATCCTTAAGAACCACAGAGTCACCTGGAGAGGACGCTGGAAGGCCAGTCTAAGGCTGGTGTTCCTTACGGAACTGTCAAATTTACTCAACACAACACCTCTCACCGCCATCGCCACTACGCCACCTTAGCTGGGAATTGGTGCTGAACGAGATAGACAAGGTCCTCCTCCTAGCGATTTCTAGATGGTTTTCTTCTACAGTCCTTTGTTAAATCAGTGCGATATTGATTCATCCACATGCCTTATTACTTGCCCTGTTCTGCCTCTCTAGCAATCTTCTTTAAGGTGACTCACTGGTCATTCTTAGTCCCAAAGGCTTGACTGATGCAGGAAGCCCTGCCTGTCCCCAAGAGGACAATTCAAGGCCAGATTCCAAAGGGCCTCTGTCAGAACAGCCTGGAAGAAGCTACAGGGGTACCCAGGTTAAAACTCCACCTTGAATCAGCTCCTGTCGGGAGAGGAGGCAATGAAGTCAGGATTAAAGCCGGCAGACAAAATTTGCAATCTAAGCATGCTGTGCCCCAGCGCCCCACTAGTGGCTGCCACAGGGCTCTCAATTAAGCCATTCCAAACAGGAGAAGTGGGTTGTGAGATGGCAGCCGGGCAGAGGAGGCGGGCTTTTCGTTGGTAATAAAGAGAATGACAAGAGCCTGCAGCTTAAATGCCTCCTTGCCTCAAGGAGACTTCCCTGGCGCGTAATTAGGTCAGGTCTCACACTAAACACTCTCCTGCATGCTACTTTTTCTTCTTAGTGTCCACCCCTGAACTGTAATTGTCATTCGACAATTGTTTGATTCTTCACCTGGCTCCCAGGATAGCACTGTTTTTTCCTCCTGCTTTGCTGACCCCTTATTCTCTCTTCTCATCTTCTCAACCTTTTAATGATGAACTGATCCAGGACTTGGTCGCTGTTTCTCTTACTTTTCTGCACTCACTCCTACGGAGTTATCCTATGGTCTTAAGCCTTCATATGGTGTCAAGTAATAACAGAAAGCAGTGGTTTGTTAAGGCTGGATGTTGGGAGTGGGAAGCCATTGTCCTATTCAAGTTTTATGCTTGGAATTTATTTTAAAAGAATCAAAATAAATGACATCTGCAGATGATGGTTCCCTCGAAACTCTCTGCCCAGAGCTATTCTTGATGCTGTCTCAAATATCTAGCAGGGAAGCATCTTGGGTTATAAAGTTAAAAACCGAGCTCCTGATAACTGCTCAACCCCAAACCTCCTCTTCCCACAACGCCCTCAGGCCAGAACATGACACTATCCTCCATTCGCTCAGGTGAGAAACCTTACCTTGATTCCTCCGTATTCACCCACAACCACCCACCCTCCACACTGCCACCACCTGGCCTCCCAGTGGCTGTGCTCACCTCCCAGGTGACCTCCCCACTCCCATTTTTCCTCTTACCCTGTGACTATATTCCCAGTCCAGTCCAGTAGCTAGGCAGCACAAGTCAGAGTCTCCTCTCTCTCTCCCCTCCCCCTGCCCCGGGTTTCTCTGTGTAGCCCTGATTGTCCTAGAACTTGCTTTGTGGATGAAGCTGGCCTCAAACTCAGAGATCTACCTCTTTTGCTTCTCAAGTGCTGGGGATAAAGGAGTGGGCCACCACTGCCCTGCTAGACGTTTTCTCTTATGTAGAGTACAGGTCAAGACCCTTCTGCTGGCCTACAAGCCCCTACACTGACCTCATTTCCCCACCCCCCTGCTCCACTCCCCAACCATTCTAGCCTTATGTGAGTCCCACAGCGCTACAATGTACCAGGCATACCCCTGCCACAGGACGTCTGCACTCGCCCATATCACTAACTGTAGTGGATTCTGCCAGATGTGCCAGTGACCTACTTCCTCATCCTTTTTATTACAACAACGGGGCCAAACCCAGGGCCTGTGCATGCTTGGAAAGAACTCTCACACAACCAGTGAGCTACAAGCCCGGCTAACCAGCCTATATATCTTTTACTTATTTTTCTTGCCACTTTTGCTCAACAGAATGTAAACTCCAAGCCAGATGTGGTGGCATTTGCTTGGAATTTCAGCACTCAGGAGGCTGAGGCAGGAGAATTGAGAGTTTGAGGCCAACCTGGGCTACAATGTGCGTCCAAGCCACACTGGGCTGCAGATAGCAATCCTGTCACATTTAAAACTAAAGCAAAGCAGGGCCAGAGTGTTGGCTCAGTAGGGAAAAGCACTTGCCACCAAACCCGATAACATGAGTTCAATCCCTGACCTACACGGCCAAAGGAGAACACCGAACGCCACAGGCTGTCCTCTCACCCCCACACAGTGGTGCACACACACAAACTAAACAAGCAACATTTAAAAAGGGTCTTAGCTCAAGAAACCAAGGCAAAAGAAAAAAAATGGTTTTTAGCTAGATAGAGTGGCACACACCGTTGACCCCAGCACTCTGGAGGTAAAGTGAGTATGAGATCAGCCTGGCCTATAATAGTGAGTTCCAGAAGAGCCAGGGCTAATAGTGAGATGCTGTTCCACTGTCCCAAAAACTGGAGAAAAAAAAAAAAAAAAGCTTTTTCAGCCTTGAATCCCAGTGCTCGGGTGGCAGAAGCAGGTGGGTCTCTATGAATTCAAAGCCAGCCTAGAACTATACAATGAGGCCTAATTTGTCTCAAAAGAAAAAAAAATGGGGTGAGGGTGATGAAGAGATGGCTCGGCAGTTAAGAGTGCTTGCTCTCCTCTAGAGGACGTGAGT